TTCAGGCTATACGGGGGATCTTTGCCAGTGACGATTCATCTGAACCGGCCCTGGGCCTCCCCTCTAGGTCAACTCAGCCTCAAATGATAACCTGGTGCGGTGCGTAGTCACCGTGGGAGACAAAGGCGGCCCTGTCGTGGTGCGTGCCGTGCCAGCATTCATAGGCGCTGCGTTGCTATTTTGTTTCTGATTTACCCACACGCTGATCAATCACGGCCACCACAGCAATGTCTATCTGCAATGTTAGTCTATGGGCAATGTTAGTCTATGGGCAATGTTAGTCTATGGGTAGTGTTAGTCTATGGGTAATGTTAGTCGATGGGTAATGTTAGTCTATGGGTAGTGTTAGTCTATGGGCAATGTTAGTCTATGGGTAGTGTTAGTCTATGGGTAGTGTTAGTCTATGGGTAGTGTTAGTCTATGGGTAGTGTTAGTCTATGGGTAGTGTTAGTCTATGGGTAGTGTTAGTCTATGGGAAGTGTTAGTCTATGGGCAATGTTAGTCTATGGGTAACGTTAGTCTATGGGAAGTGTTAGTCTATGGGTAATGTTAGTCGATGGGCAATGTTAGTCTATGGGTAGTGTTAGTCTATGGGCAATGTTAGTCTATGGGTAGTGTTAGTCTATGGGTAGTGTTAGTCTATGGGTAGTGTTAGTCTATGGGTAGTGTTAGTCTATGGGTAGTGTTAGTCTATGGGTAGTGTTAGTCTATGGGTAACGTTAGTCTATGGGAAGTGTTAGTCTATGGGAAATGTTAGTCTATGGGCAATGTTAGTCTATGGGAAGTGTTAGTCTATGGGCAATGTTAGTCTATGGGCAATGTTAGTCTATGGGTAGTGTTAGTCTATGGGTAATGTTAGTCGATGGGTAATGTTAGTTTATGGGTAGTGTTAGTCTATGGGTAGTGTTAGTCTATGGGTAGTGTTAGTCTATGGGTAGTGTTAGTCTATGGGTAGTGTTAGTCTATGGGTAGTGTTAGTCTATGGGCAATGTTAGTCTATGGGTAGTGTTAGTCTATGGGCAGTGTTAGTCTATGGGCAGTGTTAGTCTATGGGTAGTGTTAGTCTATGGGTAGTGTTAGTCTATGGGTAGTGTTAGTCTATGGGTAGTGTTAGTCTATGGGTAGTGTTAGTCTATGGGTAACGTTAGTCTATGGGAAGTGTTAGTCTATGGGCAATGTTAGTCTATGGGCAATGTTAGTCTATGGGAAGTGTTAGTCTATGGGCAATGTTAGTCTATGGGCAATGTTAGTCTATGGGTAGTGTTAGTCTATGGGTAATGTTAGTCGATGGGTAATGTTAGTCTATGGGTAGTGTTAGTCTATGGGCAGTGTTAGTCTATGGGTAGTGTTAGTCTATGGGTAGTGTTAGTCTATGGGTAGTGTTAGTCTATGGGTAGTGTTAGTCTATGGGTAGTGTTAGTCTATGGGTAACGTTAGTCTATGGGAAGTGTTAGTCTATGGGCAATGTTAGTCTATGGGCAATGTTAGTCTATGGGAAGTGTTAGTCTATGGGCAATGTTAGTCTATGGGCAATGTTAGTCTATGGGTAGTGTTAGTCTATGGGTAATGTTAGTCGATGGGTAATGTTAGTCTATGGGTAGTGTTAGTCTATGGGCAGTGTTAGTCTATGGGTAGTGTTAGTCTATGGGTAGTGTTAGTCTATGGGTAGTGTTAGTCTATGGGTAGTGTTAGTCTATGGGCAGTGTTAGTCTATGGGTAGTGTTAGTCTATGGGTAGCGTTAGTCTATGGGTAGTGTTAGTCTATGGGTAATGTTAGTCTATGGGTAGTGTTAGTCTATGGGTAGTGTTAGTCTATGGGTAGTGTTAGTCTATGGGCAATGTTAGTCTATGGGCAATGTTAGTCTATGGGTAATGTTAGTCTATGGGTAGTGTTAGCATATGGGTAGTGTTCGTCTATGGGTAATGTTAATCTATGGGCAATGTTAGTCTATGGGTAATGTAAGTCTATGGGTATTGTTAGTCTATGGGTAGTGTAAGTCTATGGGCAATGTTAGTCTATGGGTAATGTGAGTCTATGGGTAATGTTAGTCTATGGGTAATGTTAGTCTATGGGCAATGTTAGTCTATGGGAGGTGTTAGTCTATGGGCAATGTTAGTCTATGGGTAATGTTAGTCTATGGGTAGTGTTAGTCTATGGGTAATGTTAATCTATGGGCAATGTTAGTCTATGGGTAATGTAAGTCTATGGGTAATGTTAGTCTATGGGTAGTGTTAGCATATGGGTAGTGTTCGTCTATGGGTAATGTTAATCTATGGGCAATGTTAGTCTATGGGTAATGTAAGTCTATGGGTAATGTTAGTCTATGGGTAGTGTAAGTCTATGGGCAATGTTAGTCTATGGGTAATGTTAGTCTATGGGTATTGTTAGTCTATGGGCAATGTTAGTCTATGGGTAATGTTAGTCTATGGGTAATGTTAGTCTATGGGTAATGTTAGTCTATGGGTAGCGTTAGTCTATGGGTAGTGTTAGTCTATGGGTAATGTTAGTCTATGGGTAGTGTTAGTCGATGGGTAATGTAAGTCTATGGGTAGTGTTAGTCTATGGGCAATGCTAGTCTATGGGCAAGGTTAGTCTATGGGTAATGTGAGTCTATGGGTATTGTTAGTCTATGGGCAATATGAGTCTATGGGCAATGTTAGTCTATGGGTAATGTTAGTCTATGGGCAATGTGAGTCTATGGGTATTGTTAGTCTATGGGCAATATGAGTCTAGGGGTAATGTTAGTCTATGGGTAATGTTAGTCTATGGGCAATGTTAGTCTATGGGCAATGTAGTAGTTGTGTGGTAGTTGTTGTAGTAGTTGTTGTAGTAATAGTAGTAGTTGTAGTAGTTGTTGTACTAGTTGTGGTAGTTGTAGTAGTAGTTGTAGTAGTATTTGTACTAGTTGTGGTAGTTGTAGTAGTTGTAGTAGTAGTTGTAGTAGTAGTTGTAGTAGTAGTTGTAGTAGTAGTAGTTGTAGTAGTTGTTGTAGTAGTTGTAATAGTTGTTGTAGTAGTTGTAGTATAAGTTGTTGTAGTAGTTGTAGTTGTTGTAGTAGTTGTAGTAGTAGTTGTAGTAGTTGTTGTAGTTGTTGTAGTAGTTGTCGTTGTAGAAGTAGTAGTTGTTGTAGTAGTTGTAGTAGTTGTTGTAGTAGTTGTTGTAGTAGTTGTAGTAGTTGTTGTAGTAGTTATTGTAGTAGTAGTTGTTGTAGTAGTTGTTGTAGTAGTTGTAGTAGTTGTTGTAGTAGTTGTTGTAGTAGTTGTTGTAGTTGTTGTAGTAGTTGTTGTAGTAGTAGTAGTTGTAGTAGTAGTTGTTGTTGTAGTAGTTGTTGTAGTAGTTGTAGTAGTAGTTGTTGTAGTAGTAGTTGTTGTAGTAGTTGTTGTATTAGTTGTGGTAGTAGTTGTTGTAGTAGTTGTTGTTGTAGTAGTTGTAGTAGTTGTAGTTCTTGTAGTAGTTGTTGTAGTAGTTGTAGTAGTTCTAGTAGTAGTTGTACTAGTTGTATTAGTTGTTGTAGTAGTTGTACTAGTTGTTGTAGTAGTTGTACTAGTTGTAGTAGTTGTAGTAGTTGTTGTAGAAGTAGTGGTTGTAGTAGTAGTAGTTGTTGTAGTAGTTGCAGTAGTAGTAGTAGTAGTTGTACTAGTTGTTGTAGTAGTTGTGGTAGTTGTAGTAATTGTTGTAGTAGTTGTAGTAGTTTTAGTAGTAGTGGTTGTAGTAGTAGTAGTTGTTGTAGTAGTTGTAGTAATTGTTGTTGTAGTTGTGGTTGTACTAGTTGTAGTTGTAGTAGTAGTTGTTTTAGTAGTAGTGGTTGTAGTAGTGGTTGTAGTAGTAGTTGTAGTAGTAGTTGTAGTAGTAGTGGTTGTAGTAGTTGTACTAGTTGTTGTTGTAGTTGTACTAGTTGTAGTAGTTGTAGTAGTGGTTGTAGTGGTAGTAGTTGTAGTACTTGTTGTAGTAGTCGTAGTTGTAGTAGTTGTTGTAGTAGTTGTAGTAATTATTATTGTAGTAGTTGTAGTAGTTGTTGTAGTAGTTGTAGTAAATATTATTGTAATAGTTGTAGTAGTTGTTGTAGTAGTTGTAGTAGTAGTTGTACTAGTTGTGGTAGTTGTAGTAGTTGTAGTAGTAGTTGTAGTTGTTGTTGTAGTAGTTGTGGTAGTAGTTGTAGTAGTTGTAGTAATTATTATTATTGTAATAGTTGTAGTAGTTGTTTTAGTAGTTGTAGTAGTAGTTGTACTAGTTGTGGTAGTTTTAGTAGTTGTAGTAGTAGTTGTACTAGTTGTGGTAGTTGTAGTAGTTGTAGTAGTAGTTGTAGTAGTTGTTGTAGTAGTTGTGGTAGTAGTTGTAGTAGTTGTTGTAATTATTATTATTGTAATAGTTGTAGTAGTTGTTGTAGTAGTTGTAGTAGTAGTTGTAGTAGTTGTTGTAGTAGTTGTAGTAGTGGTTGTAGTAGTTGTGGTAGTAGTTGTAGTAATTATTATTATTGTAATAGTTGTAGTAGTTGTTGTAGTAGTTGTAGTAGAAGTTGTAGTAGTGGTTGTAGTAGTTGTGGTAGTAGTTGTAGTAGTTGTAGTAATTATTATTATTATTGTAATAGTTGTAGTAGTTGTTGTAGTAGTTGTTGTAGTAGTAGTTGTAGTAGTTTTAGTAATTATTATCATTGTAATAGTTGTAGTAGTTGTTGTAGTAGTAGTAGTTGTAGTAGTGGTTGTAGTAGTTGTGGTAGTAGTTGTAGTAGTTGTAGTAATTATTATTGTAATAGTTGTAGTAGTTGTTGTAGTAGTTGTAGTAGTAGTTGTAGTAGTTGTTGTAGTAGTAGTTGTAGTAGTTGTTGTAGTAGTAGTTGTAGTAGTAGTTGTAGTAGTAGTAGTTGTAGTAGTAGTTGTTGTTGTAGTTGTTGTAGTAGTAGTAGTAGTAGTTGTTGTTGTAGTTGTTGTAGTAGTAGTTGTAGTAGTAGTAGTATTTATTATTGTAATAACGACTCACCTGTCTGTGTGTCTCCTTACAG